GGATTTGAGGCCAGCAGTGGCAGTCGCAGGGGTGGTGGCAACGTCGATGGTGGCGGTCGATCCGCCGGCATCGTCTGGAGTTGCCATGGTGGACTTGCGGGCGGTGGCCCACCAGTGAAAGTTCCGGTAGAATTTTCGAAATCTATTGGCCCTGGTGGCTTTGCCACGGGCAGAGGTGGTGGTGGTGATGGTGGTGGTGGTGGCGGCGGTGGTGGCGGCGGTGGCGGTGGCATCAGCAGAGGCCGTTCTGCCAGGGGCAGCCGGCGTGGCGATGCCGGTGGATGATTTCCCGGTAGCGGCAGCCGACCGAGGCCGTTTTATCACAAATCTCGGCATGGCGGTGGTTGGGGTGTCAATGCCGGTGACTATTTCCCCAGCAGCAGCCAACCGAGGCCGCCTTATGACAAGTTTCGGATTGGTGGCGGCAGCTGTGGCGGTTTCATCGACGGCGGCAGCGGTCGAGGAATGGTGCGATGTGGCGGATGTGGCGACCGTCATGTCTCCAGCTTTGGCGGTGGAGCCTTCGGCGATGGCGGCGGCTGTGGCGCTGGCTGGGATGGCGGTGTTGCCATTGGTGGTGGCGGTGGCTCCGACAGCGGCGGCAGAGATGCTCTCAGTGGCAATGCCGTCAGCATCGTCGGCTCTGACGTTGAAATTGCCGATGCCAGACACGAGGGCTGTCAGCTGAGCTTTGGTTTTGCGCAGCTGCGTAAAGAGGCCCCCCAGGTCGGGCTTCCTGGCCTCCTCCGCCTGGAGCAGGCGACGCTGCGCCTTGACTTTAGTACGGAGCGCCACGTTCTCCCGTTCGTAGCCTGGGATGGGCGGTAAAAATCGGCATTCTGTCAGTCGCGGCAGGAATAACTGATTACACATCAGGGCATTCTTCTTCATTGTCATTGCTGCATTGCTAATGGCAGCCCCCTGGTGTCCCTTCCTGCGGCCCTTGACATGCGGTTCTCGACAAAACACAAATGTGGGAAACACCCCATCGTTGTGCTGTCACAAACCCCAATGGTTTGAAATGTGCGGCATGCCATCACATTGATGTCTTGTCGGCGAAAGTGACTCTCTTCTGAAAAATGGTGAAGCTCACTACATCGGGGCTGTGAAAATGTCGGCGCCCCGTGAGCAATGTGCTGTCTGACGAGAGAGACCGGCACACTGAAGTCGCATATGAGGGCTCATCGAACTCACATAGAGTGCCCTAGAATCAAGTTGCACAGACGGGTCCATAGATTCAACCAAGTTGCTCAGACAGACGTGTAGATTCACGCAGAGGTCTGTAGTCTCAAGTACACACAGACAGACGTATAGATTCACACAGAGGTCTGTAGACTCAAGTTGCTCAGACAGACGTATAGATTCACACAGAGGTCTGTAGACTCAAGTTGCACAGACAGACGTATAGATTCACACAGAGGTCTGTAAACTCAAGTTGCTCAGACAGACGTATAGATAAACAACACAGAGGTCTGTAGACTCAAGTTGCTCAGACAGACGTAGAGATTCACACAGAGGTCTGTAAACTCAAGTTGCTCAGACAGACGTGTAGATTCACACAGAGGTCTGTAGACTCAAGTTGCACAGACAGACGTGTAGATTCACACAGAGGTCTGCAGACTCAAGTACACACAGACAGACGTATAGATTCACACAGAGGTCTGTAGACTCAAGTGGCAGAGACAGACGTGTACGTTCACACAGAGGTCTGTAAACTCAAGTTCCTCAGACAGACGTGTAGATTCACACAGAGGTCTGTAGACTCAAGTTGCTCAGACAGACGTGTAGATTCACACAGAGGTCTGTAAACTCAAGTACACACAGACAGACGTGTAGATTCACACAGAGGTCTGTAAACTAAAGTTGCACAGGCAGACGTGTAGATTCACACAGAGGTCTGTAGACTCAAGTTGCTCAGACAGACGTGTTGATTCACACAGAGGTCTGTAAACTCAAGTACACACAGACAGACGTGTAGATTCACACAGAGGTCTGTAAACTCAAGTTGCACAGACAGACGTGTAGATTCACACAGAGGTCTGTAAACTAAAGTTGCACAGACAGACGTATAGATTTACACAGAGGTCTGTAAACTCAAGTTGCACAGACAGACGTGTAGATTCACACAGAGGTCTGTAGACTCAACTTGCACAGACAGACGTATAGATTCACACAGAGGTCTGTAAACTCAAGTTGCTCAGACAGACGTATAGATTCACAGAGAGGTCTGTACACTCAATTACACAGAAAGACACGCAGCTTTACAAAGGGGCCCATAGACTCAGCATCGTCGGCTCCGACGTTGAAATTGCCGATGCCAGACACGAGGGCTGTCAGCTGAGCTTTGGTTTTGCGCAGCTGCGAAAAGAGGCCCCCCAGGTCGGCCTTCCTGGACTCCTCCGCCCGGAGCAGGCGACGCTGCGCCTTGATTTTAGTACGGAGCGCCACGTTCTCCAGTTCGTAGCCTGGGATGGGCGGTAAAAATCGGCATTCTGTCAGTCGCGGCAGGAATAACTGATTACACATGAGGGCATTCTTCTTCATTGTCATTGCTGTATTGCTAATGGCAGCCCCCTGGTGTCCTTTCATGCGGCCCTTGACATGCGGTTCTCGACAAAACACAAATGTGGGAAACACCCCATCGTTGTGCTGTCACAAACCCCAATGGTTTGAAATGTGCGGCGTGCCACCACATTGATGTCTTGTCGGCGAAAGTGACCCTCTTCTGAAAAATTGTGAAGCTCACTACATCGGGGCTGTGAAAATGTCAGCGCCCCGTGAGCAATGTGCTGTCTGACGAGAGAGACCGGCACACTGAAGTCGCATATGAGGGCTCATCGAACTCACATAGAGTGCCCTAGAATCAAGTTGCACAGACGGGTCCATAGATTCACCCAAGTTGCTCAGACAGACGTGTAGATTCACGCAGAGGTCTGTAGTCTCAAGTACACACAGATGTATAGATTCACACAGAGGTCTGTAGACTCAAGTGGTTCTTAGGGGAGGTGAGTTGGGTGAGGGAGCGTGCAATCTCGCTGAATCCCTTTACAAATCGACGATAATACGTAACTTCATCATCGCCATCCTCCTCTTTCGACAACTAAGTTAATGTGGCCATCAACAACCTAACATCGTTCAAGTGTGCGGACGACGGACAGAGTCTTGTGGTGAGTACGGTAGAATATGATACACGTTACGATATGTTCAATGCATGTATGATAACATAGCTCTAGCGATTTCATTTCAGGTTTACCACGATACGATACACGATACGTACGTTCAGTGTATGTGTAAAGTTTTTATAGCAGATAGGATTGTTTCCTGAAAAAAAATATTTCTATGAAATTGCAGTTCATATAGGTAGGCTAAGAATTTACCTTGTTTTTTTATACTTTTAAATTTTACTGTGCAAAACAGTATTGTAATTAATACATACATACAGTACATAGTGTATACAGTACGGTACTGTAAATTGCTCTGTTTTGCTCAATTATCACCATTCTTTAAGACTCCTGGGTCGGCTAGGGCCATCTTCGACTTACGATATTTTCGACTTACGATATGATCGTCGTAACGCATCTCCATCGTAAGTCGGGGACTACCCTGTAATTGGCCATTGCTATGAATGTCCACGTGGTGGTGATGATGACGACAATGGCGATGAGCCACTTGGCTTGAGCTATCATTTGTGATGGGCAGGTCGCTTCTGAATAAGTAATATTAAAATTTTTTTTTTTTTAAAACACGCTTTTATGAAATGTACCGTACTCAATTTTGATTTAAAGCTTTCGTTACTGCAGTGATTCATATTCTTGGTTCTTTCGGTAAAGTCACGTTGAAGGGAAACTGTAAAATAATAAAATATATATGCTTGTGTTGCAGTCGAAACGTCGTGCGAATTTTATTGTTTTATATATTTTATTATTTTATTGTTTCCCTTCAACGTGGTGACTTTACCGAAAGAACCAATTAAATGTACCGTACTAGTAATGGAAGAACTCCACCACGACTCCAGGAAGTGGCCACGAAGCTTGCCAGTAATGTAAGGGGACCCGTGGTGATTTACAGCCAACGTGAGTTGAGCGTGGACAGTTAGACCCAAGCCGAAACATAACATGTACAAAATAATGTTTAAAATATAAATATTTTGTAGTTTAATGATATAATATGGTATTGTCATCAGTATGACATAAGTATATACCAAGTGTGCAGTCGATAGCACATTGGGAAGTGGGTTGAGTTACAAGATTTGAGGATACAACAACAGAGTGAGTTAAATAAAAGCGCGTAAAATAATAAAAATGAAAGTGAATGGTTAAGAACCAGGCTACAATCTACAATTAAAAATAAAAAATAAGAAAAAGTATGTAAAAAGAATAATACAAGTAAAACTAAACTTTTATTTTATCTTAACAGGTAAAGCCTACTGAGCTATCAGCTGTTTTTTCAGAAGCGACCTGGTCACAAATGATGGCTCATTCCACCGAGACATTTAAAGCAGCTAAATAATGAAAATGTCTGTTTCTAAATGAGTGAAGGCCTTCTGTGAATATTTTATTCGATTACCCGTGTGAATTGTAGAAAATAGTAATTTATAAAATATAAAAATTCAACCGTGCCCCGTGTGAGGATCGAACTCACGACCTTCAGATTATGAGACTGACGCGCTACCTACTGCGCTAACGAGGCCCCGGCGGCCAACGGAGGGCGAGGAGCCTTCTTATGAGCAAAGCCACCGCGAAACATCGTGAATCTACACGGGGTCGTGAGCCGTCGTCAGTAACCCACTCGCCCTGCACAACTGACGTCACGGCGCGGGCCTCGACACATTCCACGGGTCCTCAAGATAAACGTGACCGCGCCCTGACGTCACTCGAGGGGGAGAAACATGACGTCACTATTCGGCGGGAGAGGGGGGTGACGTCGGTGTGGGTACATGGCGGGGTGACGTCATGTGACGTTGTTGGGGGGGGGGCGGGGCGTACCCTCGTGACGGCTACGCTCGCCGCTGATTGGGGCGGCGCGAACCCCGGAAGCGCAGATCAGCTGAGCGCGCGTGACCCTCGGACTCTCCCCACAGCTCCCAGGTAAGGAGAGAGACAAAGAGAGAGAGAGACAGGGAGACACAGAGACAGGGAGACAGAGAGAGACAGAGACAGGGAGACAGAGAGACACAGAGAGAGAGACAGGGAGACACAGAGACATGGAGAGAGACACAGAGAGAGACAAAGAGACAGGGAGACAGAGACACAGAGACAGGGAGACACAGAGATAGACACAGAGACACAGAGACAGGGAGACAGGGAGACACAGAGAGAGAGGGAGACACAGAGACAGGGAGACAGAGAGAGACACACAGAGACAGGGAGACAGAGAGAGACACACACAGAGAGAGACAGGAAGACAGAAAGACAGAGAGAGAGACACAGAGAGAGACAGAGAGAGAGACACAGAGAGACACAGAGAGAGACACACAGAGAGAGAGACAGAGACACAGAGACAGAGAAACACAGAGAGAGACAAAGAGACAGAGAGACACAGAGACAGGGAGACAGAGAGACAGGGAGAGACATAGACAGGGAGAGAGAGACACAGAGAGAGACAGAGACACAGAGAGAGACACAGAGAGAGACAGGGAGACATAGAGAGACACAGAGAGAGACACAGAGAGACACAGAGACAGAGAGAGACACAGATAGACAGAGAGAGACACAGAGACAGGGAGACACAGAGACAGGGAGACAGAGAGACACAGAGAGAGAGACAGAGAGACAGAGAGAGAGACACAGAGAGACACACAGAGAGAGAGACAGAGACACAGAGAGAGACACAGAGAGAGACAGGGAGACAGAGAGAGACACAGAGAGAGACAGGGAGACAGAGAGAGAGAGACACAGAAAGAGACAGAGAAACACAGAGAGACACAGAGACACAGAGAGAGAGACACACAGATAGACAGAGAGAGACACAGAGACAGGGAGACACAGATAGACAGAGAGAGACACAGAGACACAGAGAGAGACACAGAGAGAGACAGAGAGAGACACAGAGAGAGAAACACAGAGACACAGAGAGAGAGACACACAGAGAGAGAGAGACACACAGAGAGAGAGAGACAGAGAGAGACACACAGAGACACAGAGATACACAGAGATAGAGAGAGAGACACAGAGAGAGAGACATAGAGAGAGACACACAGAGAGACAGGGAGACAGAGACACAGAGAGAGACACACACAGAGAGAGAGAGAGAGACACAGAGACACAGAGAGACTGGGAGACAGAGACACAGAGAGAGACACAGAGAGAGAGAGAGACAGACAGAGAGAGACACAGAAAGAGACAGAGAGAGAGAGACACAGAGAGAGACACACAGAGAGAGACACAGAGAGAGACACACACAGAGAGAGACACAGACACAGAGAGACAGAGAGAGACACAGAGAGACGCAGAGAGATGGAGAGAGAGAGAGAGACAGAGAGACACGGAGACACAGAGAGAGACAGGGAGACAGAGAGAGACAGGGAGACAGAGAGAGACAGAAAGAGACAGGGAGACAGAGAGAGCCAGAAAGAGACAGGGAGACAGAGAGAGACACAGAGAGACACAGAGAGAGACACACAGAGAGAGACACAGACAAACACAGAGAGAGACACAGAGAGACAGAGAGAGATAGAGAGACACAGAGAGACAGAGAGAGACAGAGAGACAGAGAGACACAGAGAGACACAGAGAGAGAGACATAGAGAGAGACACAGAGAGACACAGAGAGAGAGAAAGAGAGACACAGAGAGAGAGACAGAGACACAGAGACAGAGACACAGACTTTGACTTTTAAACAACTTTTATTGCCGCCAGCAGCAAAAGCACTGGAGGCGATTTCGATACGAAATACACAAAGTCGCCAGCCACACAAATTAAAATAAACGTTACAAATCTACACACTGTGGCGCTAAAAGCACCGCGCACGACACGAAATAAAAGTCACGTGGTGGTGGTGGTGGGGGTGGTGATGGTGGTGGGGGTGGTCATCGTGCACGCCACGGTGACGAGCGAGCGCTTCAGAAGGTGAACGCGAGGGTGCCGTCCACGCTGGTACAGAGAGGGGCTTGTCCGCCCCCCCAGCGTCCGAAGAAGACGCGCTGCACATCACCGACACGTGTGTGTGGTACGTGGCGTGCTCCAGCCGGAGCCGTGCCTTGAGCAGGCCCCTGAACACCGGAAGCACCGCAGAGCAGCCGTCAGTGTCACCTTGCAGCATCTTTTTTCTCGTTCTGTACACCGCCATCTTCGCCTGAACACAGGCGAAGTTGGCAAGGTCATGGCGCTTGCTAGCCAGGTAAGGCACCACCCCATATATACGAAGCTGCCGCTGTTGTAGAAGGGTACCCCCAGTTTCCTGAAGATGTCCCCCAAAAGGCGGAACATTGACTTTGAGCCGCTGGCAGTGTAAGTACCGGTGGGGCAGATCCTCCCTGGCACCGCAGGAGATGCACCAAGTCTGTTACCCCCGGCGAGATTTGGCTGAGCCACGCGGCCGATGGAAATGTGCAGTGTGCCAACCTCCACCGGAGGTCACCGCGGCGTTGGGCTTCGGGAGACTCGTGCGTTTGTTTCCACTGAGGGGCGGCCGCAATGAGGGGAGAGAGAAATGGTCTCTCCATTTTGTGTCCGGTAGGTCGGCCAGGTCCCGGGAATGCAGCGCCTTGACACAGCACGTGTAGAGCGCTGTGTTTGGGGTGCTCTTGAGGGGCACGTTCATGCAGCCTCGGGGCTTCAGTAGCTTGCCGGAGTCGCTGTGGCCGGGGGGCTGCGCACAGGAGAAGCACAACTCCGGGAAGGAGGAGGAGGGGGGTGGAGGGCCGCCACCGTCTGCCGGTGCCTCCAGCTTCAGGCGCAGCTCCTTAATGGCGCGGAAGCTGACGTCCCGCAGCAGCTTCTCCACGGCGAGCGTGGAGCGGAGTCCTGCGGTGTTGGCGATTTCAGCTGCGGCCTTCCACTTGGGCTGGTGGGGGCCTGCACGAGGTGGAAGACTGTCCCGCAGCCCTGCCGATGTGAGGCGTTGAGCCAGGGTCCCTCTCTCCTCTGATCCCCTAGAAGAGGCCGTTGCAGAACAAGGCTCGTTGAGGAACCGCGCGAGGTCGTAGTGCGCGCGCGTTCCACTCCACTCGAAGCTCCGCCACGCGTCCAAGAGGCTCCGGTGATAACCTGGCAGCCTCGTGTAGTCGACCAGGCTCAGGTCCATCAGGAAGAGCTCCTTTCCGTACCCCAGAAACCCCCCTGCATTCCTCAGCAGGGCGAGGGCCGGCGACTTCCAGGGTAGCTCCTCCCGGTCGCACGGCGGCCGCCTGACCGCCACGGGCCTGAAACTCGCGACCCCGGGGGCGGCGACGTCCACCAGACCTTGGCCGCCCTCGGTCAATCGGCAGGCGGAGGACGCCCGGCCTGAGCCAGTTGCTTCCCGTGCCAGACGAAGTGCGCGAGTGAGCGGTCGGCTCTGGTGAGTAGCCAAGCGGGAGGCTGGAGGGGCCTTGGGTCTTGTGCCACAGCACAGACGCTGCCAGGGCGTTAGCGACGAGCACTCGGCCACCGAATGACAAGTGCGGAGCGAGGCGTTGCGCCCGCGTCAGTAATTTAGCCTCCATCGTGTCGGCCAGCTCGGTCCGGTTGTTCAGAGCGACGTCGTCACGTGGTTTCCCCACTGTGGTTTCCCCAGGTAAACCCCCAGGTACTTGACTCCGTCGTCCCGCCAACTGACTCCTCCTGGGAGGAGCACAGAGCGAACGCCGCCTCGCGACCCCAAACACAGTGGGGGGCCTCGCACTTGGCTCAGTTGGCCCTGGCGGAGGAGACCCCCCGACTCGTACATTGCAACCGCCTGGCAGAGCGCGGAGACGTCACACGCGTCGTTGAGGACGACGCATCATGACGTCGTCGTAAGCCGAGAGCCTGATGACCGCGTTCTCAGGTCCCGGGACTTTGAGGCCAGACAGATTTCGTCTCAGGTGGCGTAGCAGTGGCTGAATGGACAGGGTGTACAGCAGCCCCGAGAGGGGGCATCCCCGTCTGACCCCCCTCGTCACAGGGAAAGGGGACGCCGAGCCGCTGGTTTATCTTCAAGAGGCTGGATGTGCCCCCATGTACAGGAGCCTAACGTGCGAGATGACGGGCTGGCCAAAACCGAGCGACGTAGGAGTTTGTCCAGGTACTCGTGGCTTGCCCTGTCAAAGGCCTTCTGATCTAAAAAGAGGAGGCCCAAGTCCACGTTGTGCGCTTCTGCAAGGGAGATTACGTCTCTTGACCGTACCGATGTTGTCGTATTTGCACCGTCCGGGGATGCAATGCGACTGTTCCGGCAGGATCAGCTGACCCAGCGCTGTTTTGAGACGGTTTGCCAGCACCTTGGAGAAGTTTTTGGTGTCAGCGCACAAGATGGTCACGGGTCGCCAGTTCACGAGGAGACGCAGGTCTCCCTTCTTGGGTAGCAGGGAGGCCGCCGCTCTCCTGCAGCTCTGTGGGAGTTCCCCCTTCTGCAGGCTCTCCGTCAACAATTGCAGTAGCGGAGGGCCAAGCCCATCCCAGAAGGCCGCGTAAAAATCAACCGGAAGGCCGTCAATCCCCGGGGCTTTACCAGCTGCGAGCACCTTTCACAGCGGTGTGGAGCTCCTGCTGCAGGGTGACGGGGCTGTCCAGACGATCCCGCTCGGGGACTCCTAAGGTCAGGCCCCCCTCCAGTAGCTCCCGGACAGCCCGTCGCGTATGGTTTCGGCGGCGAAAAGTCGCGAGTAGAAACCCCTGGCGGTCTTGGCGATCTCGCCCTCGGATGTTGCCATTTGTCCATCTGGGGTTCGCAAACTGGAAATGTTCGTGGCGTTGGCCGGTGCTTTGTTTAACCGGAAGAAAAACTTAGAGGGAGAGTGACCATCTTGCGACAGGCGCTGCATCTTTTTGCACACAAAAGCGCGGCGCGCCCGCTCGTCCGTGATGGACCTGAAAAGCCGCTGCTTCTCCAGCAGCGTCTCACCCCGCTGTGTGCCCTGGGATGGGCTCAGCTCCGCCTCAAGCGCCAGCAGCTCGTTCTGCAGTTGGCGCGCCGCCTCGTTCTTGGCGGCGGCGTGCTGGCTCATGAACCGCTGACAGAGAGCCCCTGAACCTGCGCCTTTGTGTTGTCCCACCACGGCTGCTGGGAGCTGAAGCTGCCTTTGGCAGGCAGCCACTGAGCCCAAAAGGCTTTGAAGGTTTCCCTGAAGTCGGCGTCGTCAAGCAGCTCCACGTCGAGCCTCCGGTAGGCGCTGTGGTGCTCCGCTCTGGGAATTCTCAGCAGCGCAGAGACCAGGCGGTGATCGTAGAAACCGGGAGGGTACGATTTTACCGTCCCCCGAGCAGGTGAACGCCGCCAGCGTTGACGTACGGTCGGTCGAGCCCGGCAAGTCTCATCCCGCCTTGAGAGCCGCGGCACCAGGAGCACTGCCGCCGGGCCGGATGCCGCGGTCGCCGCACGCCACGCAGATCCAGCCTCCGCACGAGGTCGGCTAGCGGCCGTGTGGACTCGGGGTGAGGCTCGGCGTTGTTGCGGTCGAGAGCCGGGTCGAGGGTGCAGTTGAAGTCTCTCCCCCCACATGACGGCGAGCAACGTTGCCCGCATCGTCAGTGGCGAGCGCGTCCCGCAGCGCGCCGAAGAAGAGCTTCCTCTCGGGGGGGCCTTGCTCGGCGCGTACGCGTTGAAGCACCCGAGGCAAGGATTTATTCAGGACGAATTCGACAGAAATCAAGTGACCTTTGGCGATTAAAATTTTGATTTAAAGCTTTCGTGACTGCAGTAATTCATATTCTTAGCTCTTTCGGTAAAGTCACGTTGAAGGGAAACAATAAAATAATAAAATATATATAAAACAATAAAAATGGTCAATTCTGGTGCAAATTGCGAACCGAGCACAATCGCCATGCCGGCGAGGTTGTCCTCGGCGTGGCTGAAGAAGGCCTCGGCCGCCTAGGAAAGGCTGGCGTTGGGCTTCCAGAGTGGCGTCGAGGTGAGTTTCCTGGAGGAGAGTCACATCATGCTTTGTGTTCACCGACAAAGCGGCAGATCTGGTCCCACCTCTTGTCGCTGCGAGCGCTGTTACAGTTCAGACTGGCGACCTTAATAGCTGAAGCCATCCTGTAGCTGTGTGGTGGTGGTGGTGGTAGTGTTAACGGTAGTTGCGGGGGGCTGGGTTACTTCTGGGCAGAAGTAAGCTCCTCCTTCGCCTTTGCTCATGAGCGCATTTCAGGCGGTAGCATTCCCGAGTCGAGAAACCAAACCTGTCGCGGCAAATTTGTTGGGATGCTTCGAGGAAAGCGGTGAGGTCAGGGGAACGTGGCCCCTACCCTAACTTGACGCTTCCTGAAAGTTTCCCCGAGGAAGCTGTGGACGTCCCCGGGTGAGTAATCGCACTCGACCGTTGACTCGCGAGTAGCCGAGCTCGCTCACGTCGTCCTCTCCTCCGGCCTCCGACACCTCGTCGTCAGCGTCCTCCAGCTCGTCAAAACCGTGGCTCGGCAGAAACCTCGTCTGCCGTCGGTGATGGCAAAGGGCCTCGTCGGGAACAGGGTGGCCGCCCTCTGGTATTGGTGGAGGCTCTTTTGCTTCCCCGCGGCGTGGCGCGGGAAGCAAAAGACCCGGCCGGTGGCTCCTCTCGCTCTGAGGATGCCGGCGGCGGCGGCGTTGGCGGTCCTTGTCCCACCGTGCTGTCCTTGTCAACACCGTGCTGTCCTTGTCCCACCGTGCTGTCCTTGTCCCACCGTGCTGTTCTTGTCCCACCGGGCTTGGCCCTGCCGCTCGCGCGAGGCGACGAGGGTGAAGCCCCCCCCCCGCGCGTCGCGGGATGGAACGTTCCAAAATGAAAGGTCGCGAATCGCAGCGGGGAAAAAAATCGCACCGGGGCAAACACCTTTTGGGAAGCGTTGGGAACGTCAACGCCGGCGTGCCGCTGGCCTTCTTCCCCCAGTGCCTGCGAAGAGACGGTGGGCCGCGAGGCCCTCCGTCTCGTCGTCCACGAGCAGAGTTGTCGAACAAGACACGGTGGGGGGTGCCTCGCTGTCCTGCCCCGCGATGACGCCGCCCGCGCTCGCGTTCGTGTGTCGCGCGCAGCCCCGGGAGACCGCCGTGACGGCACCCCGCCGTCGGCTGACGGCGCCCCGCCGCGCCCCCCTCCTCCTCGACCGTCCCGCCGCACCGGCGGGATGGCGGCTCGCGGGGACGACCAGAGGGCCGCGTTGCTCGGCGCGGGCGGACGGGCGGAATGCTCCCCGGGCCTCCCGGCGCCCGGCGCGGGATCCGTGAACGCGCCGGCGCTGGGCGGCGACGGAGGAGGAGGAGGAGGAGGAGCCGAGGGAGGGACGGCAGCAGCTGGAGCGGTGTTCATCGTGGTGAACGCGGCGCTCGGCGCGGGGCTCCTCAACTTCCCGGCGGCATTCGGGGACGCCGGCGGCGTCGTGGCCGGATTCTCCCTGCAGATGGTGAGGCCCTGGTGTGGGTACAGAGACACCGGGCGAGACAGAGACACCGGACACCAGAGAGACACCACAGAGACACCGGGCGAGACAGAGACACCACAGAGACACCACAGAGACACCGGGCGAGACAGAGACACCACAGAGACACCACAGAGACACCACAGAGACACCAGGCACCACAGAGACACCGGGCACCACAGAGACACCACAGAGACACCGGACACCACAGAGACACCACAAGAGACACCGGACACCACAGAGACACCACAGAGACACCGGACACCACAGAGACACCGGACACCACAGAGACACCGGGCACCACAGAGACACCACAGAGACAGAGACACCACAGAGACACCTTGCAACCAACCCGGGTTTGTGCATCGCATCATTCCTGCTTGTCCCCCCCCCACCACCGCACCGCCTCGCCTCGCCGCAGGTGCTGCTGGTGTTCATCGTGAGCGGCCTGCTGGTGCTGGCGCTGTGTGCCGGCCGCTCGGGCGCCCGCACCTACCAGGAGGTGGTCCGGGCGCAGTGCGGAGCGCACGCCGGCGCCGTCTGCGAGGGCTGCATCGCGCTCTACACGTTCGGCACCTGCGTGACCTTCCTCGTCATCGTGGGCGACCAGCTCGACATGCGTGCGTCTGCCCGCTCCGCCGCCGCACCAGCTCACGTTCTCGCTCGGACACCCGCCCGCCTGTTCGCCCGCTCAACGGCTCACTCGCTCGACCGTTCACCAGCTCACGTTCTAGCTCAGCCACCCGCCCGCCCGTTCGCCCGCTCACTCGCTCAACCGTTCACCAGCTCACGTTCTCGCTCAGCCACCCGCCCGCCCGTTCACCCGCTCACCCGCTCACTCGCTCGACCGTTCACCAGCTCACGTTCTCCCTCAGCCACCCACCCGCCCATTTAGTCGCTCCCTTGCTCGCCCGACCGTTCACAAGCTCACGTTCTCGCTCAGCCACCCGCCCGCCCGTTCACCCGCTCACCCGCTCACTCGCTCGACCGTTCACCAGCTCACGTTCTCGCTCAGCCACCCACTCGTTCGCCCGCTCGCCCGCCCGCTCGCTCGCTCGACTGTTCACCAGCTCACGTTCTCGCTCGGACACCCGCCCCGCCCGTTCACGCCCTCACTCGCTCGACCGTTCACCAGCTCACGATCTGGCTCAGCCACCCGCTCGCCTGTTCACCTGCTCAACGGATCACTCGCTCAACCGTTCACCAGCTCACGTGGTCACTGAACCACGTGCTCTCCCGTTCACCCGCTTACTCGCTCATCTGCTCACGTGGTTCCTCAACCTCCCCTGTTCACCCGTTCGTATCTATGTGTGTGGGTACGTGTGTGTGTATGTGTGTGTGTACGTGTGTGTGTGTATGTGTGTGTATGTGTGTGTGTACGTGTGTGTGTACGTGTGTGTGTACGTGTGTGTGTGTATGTGTGTGTGTATGTGTGTGTGTGTACGTGTGTGTGTGCGTGTGTGTATGTGTGTATGTGTGTGTGTGTATGTGTGTGTGTATGTGTGTGTGTGTATGTGTGTGGGTACGTGTGTGTGGGTACGTGTGTGTGTGTATGTGTGTGTATGTGTTATGGGGAGCGGTAGTGTAGCGGTTAGCGCGCTGCGCTATGAACCTGCCGATTCGGGTTCGATTCCCGCTCACGGCCAACACCAGTGACGATTATCTGATCCGGTCCCGGGCCTCCCCTAGGTCGACTCAGCCTCAATGAGTACCTGGTGCGGTGTGTAAACATTGCCACTAGGGAGACAAAGGCGGTCGGGCGTAGTGCTGGCCACCCACCCCCTCGTGTACCGTTCCGGCCTTCATAGGTGCTCGCTAACAGCACTTGCCCCTACAGTCTGTTAAGGCTATATGGGGGATCTTTATCTTTGTGTGTACGCTCTCACTGGTCCACCTGCTCACTCACCCACTCATTCAGTCACTCACCAGTTCAATATAGAATGTCTATCAAGTACAAAGTAAGTCTTTTCAGACCATTATCTGGGCCACCGCAGTGGCCAGGAGATGTTAACTACCTCCCACGGTATACAGGAGGTCATGGGTTCGATCCCGACCCTGACGCACGGATGATTAAAGTTTTCATCTTCTCCCCGTGGTCGTGTTGGATTTTAACTTTTTTTTCCCCCTCGACATTTAGAAATGTCCGTTTAGTGTATTCGGCCGCTGTGCATTTCCACGCGATAAGCCACTTCGTTGAGCTATCGTTTGTGGACAGGTCCCTTCTGACAAAGAGGTGCATCGCTGAGTAAACGAGATATAGTTCAATGGTTAGCATCTGGTATCAGCCCAATTGATGATCCACCCCAGTGAACAGCAAGGTAGGGTATTCCTTAGGTCACGAATTTGCGATCCGTGATTTGCATCTGGAACTCGACACGACTGCTGCACCGAGAGAGATAAAGCGATGAGATGAAGTGATAAGAGAAGCATCGGCAAACGTTGGGTGTGCGATATTGGTGGCCGGTATCACTCTACGGGAAATGTTCTGTTCACGAGCATCTCCGGAATGTATCTCTCGCGAATATTGAGGGAATACTGTACTCACATTCTTAACTCGCTTAGAAGTAGCACGGTTCCTTTGGTGGTTGTGTAGTTGTGGTGGTTGTGTAGTTGTGGTGGTTGTGTAGTTGTGGTGGTTGTGTAGTAGTGTAGTTTTGTAGTTGTGGTGGTTGTGGTGTTTGTGTAGTAGTATAGTTGTGTAGTTGTGGTGGTTGTGTAGTTGTGTAGTTGTGGTGATTGTGATGGTTGTGTAGTGGTGCAGGCCGTGTCTCACCGTGCCTGTGTAGTGATGGTGGTTGTGGTGGTGGTTGTGGTGGTGGTTGTGGTGGTTGTGTAGTGGTGGTGGTTGTGGTGGTCGTTGTGGTGGTTGTGGTGGTGGTTGTGGTGGTTGTGTAGTGATGGTGGTTGTGGTGGTTGTTGTGGTGGTGGTTGTGTAGTTGTGTAGTTGTGGTGATTGTGATGGTTGTGTAGTGGTGCAGGCCGTGTCTCACCGTGCCTGTGTAGTGATGGTGGTTGTGGTGGTTGTGTTGGTTGTGTAGTGGTGCAGGCCGTGTCTCACCGTGCCTGTGTAGTGATGGTGGTTGTGGTGGTGGTTGTGGTGGTTGATGTGGTGGTTGTGGTGGTTGTGTAGTGGTGCAGGCCGTGTCTCACCGTGCCTGTGTAGTGATGGTGGTTATGGTGGTTGTTGTGGTGGTTGTGATGGTTGTGTAGTGGTACAGGCCGTGTCTCACCGGACTCACGTTGCGCCCGTGCCCTGGTTCTGTGATCGCCGCTTCACGATCTCTGTGGTCTCCGTGGTTCTCATCCTCCCGCTCTGCTTCCCCCGCGAGATTGGATTCCAGAAATACGCCAGGTGAGACGATGGCCATTGTGAACCGAATGGCACGCGCCTCAGCCCCAAGGGGGGTTCCCATCGGTGAAGACCCCCTTATGACAGAAGTCACCTACAAACTATTTATTGTTTGACCAGGTAAGGCACCACCACTGAGTCTCTGCAGCTGCGTTTTTTTTCAGAATTGACCCGGCCACCAACAGCCCAGTGAGAAGTTGCCTATTGTCACATGGTAATTTCAGAGCGAGCGATGTTGAGTCTCAATGTGGACGGGGGGAAAAGCGGAGGAACCGAAGAAAAATCCATTGGGACCGCCACGGGGCGAGAGGCACGCAAACTCCAAATACACGCCAAATATGCACCAGGCGGCGGGGTTTGTTGTGGGTTCGCCCCGAGTTTCTGGGACACAAAGGAGGTGTAATGATGATGTGGATGCTCACCCCGAGCCCTCATTACATTGACAGCGGCATCGTCTTTGAGCTGTGCGACGCCTTTTGGCGTCATCTGGTCGAGCACCAATTGGGTCGAGGCTCAAAAGAAAGCCATCCCTTGGTGTGGACCAATCAGTTTCAAGGACAATGCATCATATATATTATCATAGTGTGTTTTTTGTTTGCATTTTGATTGCGGGTATTGTGGTTAATACAGCAACATGAATCCTTGTAAAAAAGGTTTCAGTTTTGTTGCCAGAAAAAAGGGGGAACACCCCCTATTATTAGATTTGATTTTGGGACGCTGTTTAGGGAAACGCAAGAGACTGGGAGCAACCCTAAGGAAGCGAGAGAGAGAATGAGCGAGAGCAGGAGAGGAGGAGGCATCAGAAGAAGATTCTTTTCCATCTAAAGCCAATTGGGTTGAGACCACAATTTTTGCGAGGGGCACTCGGCTAGCAAAACAACAACAAAACAATCTCGACTTGAAGCTTTCGTGACTGCAGGGATTCATTTTCTTGGTTCTTTCAGTAAAGTCGCCACCACGTAGAAGGGGAAACAATAAAATAATAAAAATATAAACGATAAATATTTTATCGTGTTCTTTTTTATTTTATTATGTTTTATTTTTATTACTTTATTATTTCCCTTCTACGTGACTTGTTTGATTTTATTTCTAACTACGTGACTTTAGCATCAAAGCATTTCACGATTGCATATTTAAAATAAAAAAAAAACTTAATAATAATGGCAATTGCAAAGGTCCATGAGAAGTCCAAGAGACACAACTAAGAGATGGGTTCCAAACCCTTTGGGGTGCAGCAGCAACATTTAATTTCCCCCCGGATCCGTAACGTCGTGCAAAATCTGGGCAACTATTAAACGGACGTTGAGACGCGTGTCGCCGATTTTTAGGATTGCCCAACGGCAACGGACAACAGCTCGGACGGCGGAGAAAGAGCGACGTCTACGGGCAGTAGCCTCCTACGTGGAAATAGCCCCGCAAGTGAAAACGCATTCCTCTCTCGTCCAATGTCTACAGGCAGTAGCCTCCTCCGTGAAAATAGCCCCGCAAGTGAAAACGACCTCCCTCTCTCGTCCAACGTCTACGGGCAGTAGCCTCCTACGTGAAAATAGCCCCGCAAGTAAAAACGACCTCCCTCTCTCGTCCAATGTCTACGGGCAGTAGCCTCCTACGTGAAAATAGCCCCGCAAGTGAAAACTCCTTCCTAAATTGTCCAATGTCTACGGGCAGTAGCCTCCTCCGTGAAAATAGCCCCCGCGTGGGAAAACGCCCTCCCTCTCTCGTCTAAGGACATTTGCTCAGCCACGATGGCATGGAGGTCGCAGTGATGCGCCCTCGCATTTCTTCAGAGCTGCTTGTTGCTTTCGAGCTGTTCTCCTTCCACCCCGCACCTCCGATCGGCTACGCACGGCACGAAAAGAAGAGTGGTTCAGCATCCGTGGTGTTGAACGTGCATGGAGCAGGCACGGGCGAGGCCGCTTGCGTTTGCTGCGTACGAGCGATAGGATGACACGCGCTCCACCGCTTAAGTGAACACCCCTGCCACCGCGAGGGAACTCGTGCAGGTGACCCCCATCCCCTTGTACGACACCTGAGCCATCGGTAGCGGCTGCAGTGGCGAGGGCCGAGTGGGATTTAAAACACCTGTGAGCCACGTTGGCACCGATCCGTGAGGCGCGCGGCTTGTGTGCACTCGGAGTGACCCGGGGGCTCGAACCGAGGTTCTCAGTGTCTCTGGTTCTGTGTCTCTCACACGGCCGTCGTGAACCCTCTGAGGAAGAGGCAGAGAGAGGCTGGGTTCAAACCCAGGTTCTTAAGCGTCTTTGGCTCATTGTGTCTTTGACACTGCTGACATCACCGCTATGAACCCCCTGAGAGAGCGCGACACCCAGACTCATGGCTCGAACCCAGTGCCTCGGTGTCTCTGGCTCAGTCTCGGTGTCTCTGACGTGACCGTTATGAACCCCCGGGACGAGAGAGAGACCCAGACTCATGGCTCAAACCCAGGCCCTCGGTGTCTCTGGCTCAGTCTCGGTGTCTCTGACGTGGCCGTTATGAACCCCCGGGACGAGAGAGAGACCCAGACTCATGGCTCACACCCAGGCCCTCGGTGTCTCTGGCTCAGTCTCGGTGTCTCTGACGTGACCGTTATGAACCCCCGGGACGAGAGAAAGACCCAGACTCATGGCTCGAACCCAGGTTATCAGTGTCTCCGTTTATGTGTCTGTGATACGGCCTTTAATGAACCCCCTGAAAGAGGGAGACCCAGGTCTTGAACCCAGTCATTAGTGTCCCTGGCTCTGTGTCTCTCACGTGGCCATCATGAACCCTCCGTCCCCAGCTTGTTCGGGGTGCTGGGCACGTGGTACGTCACGGGAGTCATCATCGTCAAGTTCTTCCTGGGCGGGTACAAGCACGGGGAGATCATAACGAGGTGAGGGAGCGTCGCTCACCCACACACACTCCACCCCCACGCTCACCCCCACGCTCACCCCCACGCTCACCCCCACGCTCACCCCCACGCTCACCCACACGCTCACCCACACTACCACAGGGTGCTGTGTGTCACTGTCTCACTGTGCATCACCGTGTCTCACTGTGCATCACCGTGTCTCACTGTGCATCACCGTGTCTCACTGTGTGTCACTCTCTCACTGTTTATCATCATCTCACCGTGTCTCTCACCGTGTGTCACCGTGTCTCACCGTGTCTCACCGTGTGTCACTGCCTCACCGTGTCTCTCACTGTCTCTCAGGCCTTCCTCGCTGGCTGCTGTGTTCAACGCCATTCCGACCATCTGCTTCGGGTTCCAGGTATAAACCACAGGGGAACTCTCCCACTGACAATGGACATTCACTCTGAGCCATATGAAGCCTAAGGGAGCCTTGGTCTGGCTCTGTGAGCCTCAGGTATTTACTCTGAGCCATAGGAAGCCTAAGGGAGCCCTGGTTTGGCTCTGTGAGCCTCAGGTATTTACTCTGAGCCATAGGAAGCCTAAGGGAGCCCTAGTCTGGCTCTGTGAGTCTCAGGTATTTACTCTGAGCCATAGGAAGCCTTAGGGAGCCCTGGTCTGGCTCTGTGAGTCTCAGGTATTAACTCTGAACTATAGGAACCATTGTGTGTGTCTCTGTGTATGTGTGTGTCTGTGTGTCTATGTGTCTGTTTGTGTGTGTCTGTGTGTGTGTATGTGTGTGTGTGTCTCTGTGTGTCTCTGTGTGTGTGTGTCTGTGTGTGTGTGTCTGTATGTCTCTGTGTGTGTGTGTCACTGTGTGTGTCTCTGTGTGTGTGTGTCTGTGTGTGTGTGTGTCTCTCTCTGTGTGTGTGTGTCTCTGTGTGTGTGTGTCTCTGTGTGTGTGTGTCACTGTGTGTGTCTCTGTGTGTGTGTCTGTGTGTGTGTGTGTGTCTCTCTGTGTGTGTGTGTCTCTGTGTGTGTGTGTGTCTCTGTGTGTGTGTCTCTGTGTCTGTGTGTGTGTGTCTCTGTGTGTGTCTGTGTGTGTCTATGTGTGTGTGTGTCTATGTGTCTGTGTGTGTGTCTCTGTGTGTGTGTCTCTGTGTGTGTCTCTGTGTGTGTCTCTGTGTGTGTGTCTCTGTGTGTGTCTCTGTGTGTGTGTATGTCTCTGTGTGTGTATCTCTGTGTGTGTGTGTCTCTGTGTGTGTGTGTCTCTATGTGTGTGTGTGTCTGTGTGTGTGTGTGTCTCTGTGTGTGTGTCTCTGTGTGTGTGTGTGTCTGTGTGTGTGTGTGTCTCTGTGTGTGTGTCTGTGTGTCTGTGTGTGTGTGTGTCTCTGTGTGTTTGTCTGTGTGTGTGTGTGTGTCTGTGTGTGTGTCTCTGTGTGTGTCTCTGTGTCTGTCTGTGTGTGTGTGTCTGTGTGTGTGTGTGTGTCTGTGTGTGTGTGTCTCTGTGTGTGTGTGCAGTGTCACGTGAGCAGCGTGCCCATCTATCACAGCATGCGGCGCCCGACCCTGGCTCGCTGGGGTGGCGTCGTCACGGCCGCCACCCTCATCTGCCTCCTCGTCTACACGGGCACGGGTGAGCGTCACACCGCATCACACCGCATCTCACCATGATGGAGGGTCACACCGCGTCACACCACGTCACTCCGTGTCTCACTGCGTCACACCGCGTCACACTGTGATGGAGGGTCACACCATGTCACACCGCGTCACACCACGTCACTTCGTGTCTCACTGCGTCACACCATGTCACACCGTGATGGAGGGTCACACCACGTCACACCGCGTCACACTGCGTCACACCGTGATGGAGGGTCACACCATGTTACACCGTGATGGAGGGTCACACCACGTCACACCGCGTCACACCGCGTCACACCACGTTACACCGCGATGGAGGGTCACACCACGTCACACCGTGATGGAGGGTCACACCGTGTCACACCACGTCACACCGTGATGGAGGGTCACACCATGTCACACCGCATCACTCCGTGTCTCACTGCATCTCACTGTGTCACACCACGTCACACCGCATCACACCACGTCACACCGTGATGGAGGGTCACACCATGTCACACCACGTCACACCGCGTCACACCGTGATGGAGGGTCACACCACGTCACACTGCGTCACACCGCGTCACACCGTGATGGAGGGTCACACTGCGTCACACCGCATCACACCGTGATGAAAGGTCACACCGTGTCACACCGTGATGGAGGGTCAGCCTGCGTCACACCGTGAGGGGTCATATATCTGAGTGGACACTCAGGCTGTGTGTCTCTACGTGTGTGTGTGTGTGTCTCTACATGTGGGTGTGTGTCTCTACATGTGGGTGTCTACGTGTGTGTGTCTCTATGTGTGTGTGTCTCTACGTGTGTGTGTGTCTCTACGTGTGTGTGCAAAACAACCCCCTACCTCCTCGCGGTGCCGGACGGGCAACTCTGTCGTGAACAGTGCTGTGGGGGGAGGTCCAATTTTGATTGGCTCCTCCCCTCATGGCATATGTGTCCACCACAGGGGATAAACGGGGGCTCTGGACGGGTGCGAGGGGCTGGTAACCCCTCCACCTTCAATTAATTACCACTAAACCACGAGTTAAATTGAAACATGTAACTAATAAGCTTGTGCCGGAGGCCCCGGGGGGCCAGGCGTCTATGACGTCTCCTGGCCAAACCCCAATTGGCGGAGCCAGGAGATTGAATATCTACCCTCGGGGCTCCTCCAGAAACAACAAAAAGCCACTACGGGTGGCCACGTGGAATGTTCGAATGCTCACTGCGGAGGAGATGCTGCCACTCCTCTGTCGGGAGCTGGACCGGTACCGCCTGGATCTATGTGGCATTCAGGAGGTCCGGTGGACCGGCTCTGGCTCCTGCCACCATGAGGGGTGGACAGTCCTCTACTCGGGGCAGCAGATTGCCAAACAACAGGGTGTGGCTCTTCTTTTGAACAAAAGAATGAAGGGGGCGTGGGAGCGTGGCGGTGAGGTGTGGGAAGCTGTAAGCCCCAGGCTACTTTGGGCTCGCATTCCCATCAACCGGAGGCGAGGAATGGTGGTCGTGGTTACTTATGTCCCCACCGAAGATGAACATCCGTGGAGGGATGCAGGCAAAGCCGATGAGTCAGATGCCTTCTATGACCTCCTGTCACAGGTGCTGGCTAAAGTGGCCCCTCGGGATAGAGTCATCATGTTGGGTGACTTCAATGCTCGAGTTGGTCATGATACTGGCACCTGGTCTGGAGTGATGGGAGGGCATGGGCCAGATCAGCTCAATAACAACGGTAGGAGGCTGCTATATTTTTGTGCAGCCAATGGGCTTGTAATTACCAACACGCTGTTCCGGCATCGGCGCATCCACACAACATCATGGATGCATGCCGGGTCCAAGCAAGAACATCTGCTGGACTACATAGTGATGGACCAGCGGATGCGAGCCCATGTCCTTGACACCAGGACCTACCGTGGAACTGATCTGCCCTCTGACCATCGACTAGTCATCTGTAAGATGCACCTGCCATTCTTCCACTCCGGTGGTGGGTGTACACCCAGGACCCCATTCCAACCTAAAGTGGCCTGGTCTCAGTTATCTGATGAAAGTTGCAAGCGAGAATTTCATCATCGCTTGCGGCTGGGATTGGCATCGTCCCCGACTCCTCCTGATGTCGAGGGTAAATGGGCGCGGTTTAGGACTGTGACTCATGCAGCTGCAATGGCTGATTTGGGTACGCGGTCCAGACCTCCCCAGAGACCATGGCTGACAGAGGAGGTGTTCAGGATGGTTGAGAAAAAGCGACAGGCCCACTGTCATCGGCTACAGAATCCCACGTCAGAGAATGAGGAGGCTTACCGCAGCCTTCGCTCGGAGGTTCGGAGAGCCGTGAGGCGCTCCAAGGATGGGTGGTGGTCGGGGGTTGCTGAGGAGATGGAGTCTGCCTCAGTGGCCCGTGATCACAAATCTCTATTTAACTCCATCAAAAAGTAACCTGCAGCGCCACACCTATTACCATCATTAGGGGAAAAAACGGTGATCCAATCTCCGACCCCCAGGAACAGGTTTGCAGATTTGCTGAGCATTTATGTGAGGTCCTGGGGGAGGGAAAATTCCTCAGCCAGGAAAACATCTTGGCACAAAGTGAGGATAACCCTGCTGAGGCTGCGGTGCCTCAAATATTGGAAGAAGTCACCCCCGTGAGTGGCTGGCTGAGGTGCCATCTGTTGAGGAAGTACTGAAGGCGATCTGGAGTCTGAGACCAGGAAAGGCAGCGGGCAGAGATGATCTCCCAAGCGAAATGCTGAGGGAGGGTGGCGTTTGTGCACAGACTGCCCTATATGACATCATAACAACGGTCTGGACCACTGGATGGGTTCCGCAGGATTGGAAGGATACCCTGGTGGTCCCCCTCTTTAAGAAGGGGGACCGCACAGACTGTAACAACTACAGGGGCATCTCACTCCTCAGTGTGCCGGGAAAGGTCCTGGCAAGGATTATTCAGCATCGCCTTGCCAGGCACGCTGAGGAGAGGCTTGCAGAGCCCCAATGCGGTTTCAGGAAAGGGCGGTCCTGCACAGATGCCATATTCTCTGTCCGTCTGCTACAGCAGAGGTGTAGGGAATTCCAACAAGACCTACATCTCTGCTTTATTGACCTGGTCAAGGCCTATGATACCATCAGTAGGCCTGGGCTCTGGGTTGTTCTTCATGCTTTTGGAGTACCTGACCCTCTGCTCACGATCATTAAGGACCTTCATGATGGTGAGCGGGCCCGGATAAAACTACGTGGCCGGGAGTCAGAGCCATTCCCTGTACACCTTGGGGTACGACAGGGATGTCCTCGGGCTCCCACATTATTTAACATCTATTTTGACCACGTAGTTCGTGAAGCCTTCAATAGCTGTACCGGGGGAATCTCCATATGGTACAGATATAATGGGAGGCTGATCGATGCCTGGGTGCGGTCAAGGGATGGCTCCCTATTGCTCAACCACGTTATGTATGCTGATGATTTGGTAATAGCTGCTCAGTCAGAGGAGGAGTTGGAGACGCTGCTGCTGAGACTGGAGCGTGCCACTAAGAGGTCTGGCCTTACCATCAGCCCCACCAAAACTAAGCACCTGCCTGGGTATTTTGTACCATCGGACACTCCACCCCCACAACTCCCAATCGGTGATGGGGCAGTTGTGGAGAGAGTTGAGAGTTTCCCATACCTGGGCAGTGTGCTTATGACTGGCTCCAGTTTAACAGCAGAGGTCTCACTCTGAATCAGTCGAGCGGCAATATCTTTTCATTGGTTGCGTAACGCTGTGTGGAAGCTACCTGGTCTGTCGCTCCGCACTAAGCTTCAGGTCTTCTCGGCCACGGTCATTCCTTCCCTTCTCTACGCTTGCGAAACGTGGACCCCCCTAATGGAACATCTTCGCCGGTTAGAAACATTTAGGCTGGCCTGCCTACGATCCATCCTGGGTTTAACCAGACTGGATTGTGTGAGGAGCTCACAAATCCTTGAAAGATCTGGGCAAGGTCCCATCGGTGAGCTCCTCCGGCGGGCAAGGCTGCGTTGGCTGGGTCATGTAGCCCGCATGCCCAGCCACCGCATGCCGAAACAGCTTTTTTTCGGCCGGATTGAGGGGGCTAAGCGGGCGCGGCACGGGCTAGAGAAGAGATGGAGTGATGTGGTACAGGAGGACGTGGAGCTGAGTGGACTTGCCGATGACTGGTACCAGCGGTGTCAAGATCGGCCTCTGTGGAGGAGGCTCGTGAAGGATGCTACTGGGCAGTTGGAGGTAGTCGCCCTCCAACAACAACGGAGGACGGAGGAGCGACGCTCAGAACAACGAGCGGAGCGCCAGGTGACTAGGGCACAGCAGGTTGGCACAGTAGGGGGCACAGGTGGTGCATCAGCCAGTCATCTCAGTCAGTCGACCCGTGGCACCTGGGTCTGCCCCGTGACCTCCTGCCAGCGGGCGTTCGACACTTCACGTGGCCTCAGGGTGCACATAGCCTGGCACAAGCGTCGTGGTGACGTCACCGCCACTTAGTGGTGAATGGCGGTTGTTGTTGTGTGTCTCTATGTGTGTGTGTCTCTACGTGTGTGTGTGTTAGTGTGTCTCTACGTGTCTATGTGTGTGTGTGTGTCTCTACGTGTGTGTGTAGGGGTGTGTGTGTCTCTATGTGTGTGTGTGTATGTGTGTGTGTATGTGTGTGTCTGTGTAGGGGTGTGTGTGTCTCTACTTGTGTGTGTCTACGTGTGTGTGTGTGTAGGGGTGTGTGTTTACGTGTGTGTGTGTATGTGTGTGTGTTTACGTGTGTGTGTGTCTCTACGTGTGTGTGTTTACGTGTGTGTGTGTCTCTACGTGTGTGTCTCTATGTGTGTGTGTGTAGGGGTGTGTGGGTATCTGACATTTGGGGCGAGCGTCAGCCCCGACGTGCTGCTCTCCTACCCCTCGGGTGACGTCGCCATCGCCATCGCGCGTCTCTTCCTCATCGTCACCGTGCTCACCTCGTACCCCATCCTGCACTTCTGTGGCCGGTACCTCTCGCTCACCCACTCGCTCACCCACTCACTCGCTCACCCACTCACTCGCTCACCCACTCACTCACTCGCTCACCCACTCGCTCACCCACTCGCTCACCCATCCACTCGCTCACCCACTCACCCACTCGCTCACCCACTCGCTCGCTCACCCACTCGCTCACCCACCCACTCACCCACTCGCTCACCCACTCACCCACTCGCTCACCCTCTCGCTCGCTCACCCACTCACTCACTTACCCACTCACCCACTCGCTCACTCACCCACTCCCTCACCCACTCGCTCACCCACTAGCTCACTCACCCACCCACTCACTCACCCACTCGCTCGCTCACCCACTCGCTCACTCACCCACCCCCTCACCCACTCGCTCACTCACCCACTCGCTCACCCACTCGCTCACCCACTCGCTCACTTGCCTACCCACTCGCTCAACCACCCGCTCGCTCACCCACTCGCTCACCCTCTCGCTCACCCACCCACTCGCTCACCCACTCACTCGCTCACCTACCCTCTCGCTCACCCACCCACTCACCCACCCACTCGCTCACCCACCCACTCGCTCACCTACCCTCTCGCTCACCCACTCACCCACCCACTCGCTCACCCACCCACTCGCTCACCCACCCACTCGCTCATCCACTCGCTCACCCACTCGCTCACCCTCTCGCTCACCCACTCGCTCATCAACTCGCTCGCCCACCCGCTCGCTCACCCGTCCGCTCGCTCACCCACCCTCTCGCTGCCTCACTCACTCACTCACCCACTCACACACGCACGCACCCACACACCCACCCACACATGTACCCACACACTCACTGCCTCACGCAACTCACTCACACACCCTCTCAACCACTCACGCACACATGCACGGACTGACTCGCCCACTCACCGCAGCACTCGTTCACTCGCCCACTAACACGCACCCTCACTCACCCACTCACAAATTCACCCGCGCACCCACCTTCATTCACTACTTCACCCAATCACTCATGCACCCGCTGACTCACGTACATGCTCACTCACTCATTCACCTACTCACTCACCCACTCGCTCACCCACTGAATCACCCACCCACTCGCTACCTCACTCAGGCACACACTCGATCACCCACTGACTCACCCACCCACTCACCCACTCACCCACCCACTCACCAAATCACTCACACGCTTACCCACTCACTCACCCACCCACCCACTCGCTACCTCACTCAGGCATATACTCGCTCACCCACTGACTCACCCACCCACTCGCTACCTCACTCAGGCATACACTCGCTCACCCAATGACTCACCCACCCACTCACCCACCCACTCAACCACCCACTCACCAAATCACTCACACACTTACCCACTCACTCACCCACCCACTCGCTACCTCACTCAGGCACACACTCGCTCACCCACTGACTCACCCGCTCACCCACTCACTCACCCACTGACTCACCCACCCACTCACCCACCCACTCGCTACCTCACTCAGGTACACACTCGCTCACCCACTGACTCACCCAGCCACTCACCCACCCACTCACCAAATCACTCACACACTTACCCACTCACTCACCCACCCACTCACCCACCCACTCGCTACTTCACTCAGGCACATACTCGCTCACCCACTGACTCACCCACTCACGCACTCACGCACGTACGCACCAGTGAGAGTGGACACTCAGGCCCACCGCCCGTGGCCTGTACAGCGATGAGGCCCTCACTGTGAGTGGGTGGACACTCAGGCCCACCGCCCGTGGCCTGTACAGCGATGAGGCCCTCACTGTGAGTGAGTGGACACTCAGGCCCACCGCCCGTGGCCTGTACAGCGATGAGGCCCTCGCTGTGAGTGAGTGGACACTCAGGCCCACCGCCCGTGGCCTGTACAGCGATGAGGCCCTCACTGTGAGTGAGTGGACACTCAGGCCCACCGCCCGTGGCCTGTAGAGCGATGAGGCCCTCACTGTGAGTGAGTGGACACTCAGGCCCACCGCCCGTGGCCTGTACAGCGATGAGGCCCTCACTGTGAGTGAGTGGACACTCAGGCCCACCGCCCGTGGCCTGTAGAGCGATGAGGCCCTCACTGTGAGTGAGTGGACACTCAGGCCCACCGCCCGTGGCCTGTACAGCGATGAGGCCCTCACTGTGAGTGAGTGGACACTCAGGCCCACCGCCCGTGGCCTGTGGAGCGATGAGGCCCTCTGAGCGAGCGTCCACCTGCAGGGCGGTGTTGGAGGGGCTGTGGCTGCGCTGGACGGGCGTCTGCACGGAGGCGGAGCCGCCGGGCCGCGAGAGGCGGCGGCGGGCCGCTCAGACGCTGGGCTGGTTCCTCCTGTCGCTGCTGCTCGCCATCTTCACGCCGGACATCGGCCGCGTCATCGCCCTCATCGGGGGCCTCGCCGCGGCCTTCATCCTCATCTTCCCTGGCACGGGGCTCCAGCACTCACTAGCGCACTCACTAACACACTCACTAGCACACTCACTAGTACAACTCACACACTAGCACACTCACTAGCACACTCACTAGCGCACTCACTAGCGCACTCACTAGCACACTCACTAGCACACTCACTAGTACACTCAAAGACAAAGACAAAGATCCCCCATATAGCCTTAACAGACTGTAGGGGCAAGTGCTGTTAGCGAGCACCTATGAAGGCCGGAACGGTACACGAGGGGGTGGGTGGCCAGCACCACGCCCGACCGTCTTTGTCTCCCTAGTGGCAATGTTTACACACCACACAAGGTACTCATTTGAGGCTGAGTCGACCTAGGGAAGGCCCGGGACCGGTTCAGATAATCGTCACTGGTGTTGGCCGTGAGCGGGAATCGAACTCGGGTCGCCAGGTTCATAGCGCAGCGCGCTAACCGCTACACTATCGCTCCCCACTCACACACTAGCACACACACTAGCACACTCACTAGCACACTCACTAGCACACTCACTAGCGCACTCACTAGCACACTCACTAGCACACTCACTAGTACACTCACACACTAGCACACTCACTAGCACACTCACTAGCACACTCACTAGTACACTCACTAGCACACTCACTAGTACACTCACACACTAGCACACTCACTAGCACACTCACTAGCGCACTCACTAGCACACTCACTAGCACACTCACTAGTACACTCACACACTAGCACACTCACTAGCACACTCACTAGCACACTCACTAGTACACTCACTAGCACACTCACTAGTACACTCACTAGCACACTCACTAGTACACTCACTAGCACACTCACTTACTAGCACACTCACTAGTACACTCACTAACACACTCACTCACTAGCACACTCACTAGTACACTCACTAGCACACTCACTAGTACACTCACTAGCACACTCACTTACTAGCACACTCACTAACACACTCACTCACTAGCACACTCACTAGTACACTCACTTACTAGCACACTCACTCACTAGCACACTCACTCACTAGCACACTCACTAGCACACTCACTAGCACACTCACTAGCACACTCACTTACTAGCACACTCACTCACTAGCACACTCACTCACTAGCACACTCACTAGCACACTCACTAGCACACTCACTTACTAGCACACTCACTAGCACACTCACTAGCACACTCACTTACTAGCACACTCACTAGCACACTCATTAGCACACTCACTTACTAGCACACTCACTAGCACACTCACTAGCACACTCACTAGCACACTCACTCACTAGCACACTCACTAGCACACTCACTAGCACACTCATTAGCACACTCACTTACTAGCACACTCACTCACTAGTACACTCACTCACTAGCACACTCACTCACTAGCACACTCACTTACACACTCACTAGCACACTCACTAGCACACTCACACACTAGCATACTCACTAGCACACTCACTAGCACACTCACTAGTACACTCACTCACTAGCACACTCACTCACTCGCACACTCACTCACTAGCGCACTCACTAGTACACTCACTAGCACACTCACTCGCACACTCACTCACTAGCGCACTCACTAGCACACTCACTAGCACACTCACTAGCACACTCACTCACTAGCACACTCACTAGTACACTCACTAGCACACTCACTTACTAGTACACTCACTCACTCGCTAGCACGCTCACTAGCGCACTCACTAGCACGCTCACTAGCACACTCACTCACTAGCGCACTCACTAGTACACTCACTAGCACACTCACTTACTAGTACACTCACTCACTCGCTAGCACGCTCACTAGCGCACTCACTAGCACGCTCACTAGCACACTCACTCACTAGCGCACTCATTAGTACACTCACTAGCACACTCACTTACTAGTACACTCACTCACTCGCTAGCACACTCACTAGCGCACTCACTAGCACGCTCACTAGCACACTCACTAGTACACTCACTAGCACACTCACTAGCACACTCACTCACTAGCACACTCACTAGTACACTCACTAGCACACTCACTAGTACACTCACTAGCACACTCACTCACTAGCGCACTCACTAGCACACTCACTAGCACACTCACTAGCACACTCACTCACTAGTACACTCACTAGCACACTCACTAGCACACTCACTAGCACACTCACTAGCACACTCACTCACCAGCCCACTCACTAGCACACTCACTAGCACACTCACTCACTAGCACACTCACTATCACACTCACTAGCACACACACACACTTGCACACTCACTCACTAGCACACTCACTAGCGCACTCACTAGCACACTCACTAGCACACTCACTCACTAGTACACTCACTCACTAGCACACTCACTAGCACACACACTCACTAGCACACTCACTCACTAGTACACTCACTCACTAGCACACTCACTCACTAGCGCACTCACTAGCACACTCACTAGCACACTCACTAGCACACTCACTAGCACACTCACTCCCTAGTCCACTCACTCACTAGCACACTCACTAGTACACTCACTCACTAGCACACTCACTCACTAGTACACTCACTCACTAGTACACTCACTCACTAGTCCACTCACTCACTAGCACACTCACTCACTAGCACACTCACTCACTAGCACACTCACTCACTAGCCCACTCACTCACTAGCACACTCACTCACTAGCACACTCATTCACTAGCACACTCACTCACTAGCCCACTCACTCACTAGTACACTCACTCACTAGTACACTCACTCACTAGCCCACTCACTCACTAGTACACTCACTCACTAGTACACTCACTCACTAGTACACTCACTCACTAGCACACTCACTCACTAGTACACTCACTCACTAGTCCACTCACTCACTAGTACACTCACTCACTAGTACACTCACTCACTAGTCCACTCACTCACTAGTCCACTCACTCACTAGCACACTCACTAGCACACTCACTAGCACACTCACTCACTAGCACACTCACTCACTAGCACACTCACTCACTAGTACACTCACTCACTAGTACACTCACTCACTAGTCCACTCACTCACTAGTACACTCACTCACTAGCACACTCACTCACTAGTACACTCACTCACTAGTACACTCACTCACTAGCACACTCACTCACTAGTCCACTCACTCACTAGTACACTCACTAGCACACTCACTCACTAGTACACTCACTCACTAGCACACTCACTCACTAGTCCACTCACTCACTAGTACACTCACTCACTAGCACACTCACTCACTAGTCCACTCACTCACTAGTACACTCACTCACTAGTACACTCACTCACTAGCACACTCACTCACTAGTCCACTCACTCACTAGCACACTCACTCACTAGTACACACACTCACTAGTACACTCACTCACTAGTACACACACTCACTAGTACACTCACTCACTAGTACACTCACTCACTAGTACACACACTCACTAGTACACTCACTCACTAGTACACACACTCACTAGTACACTCACTCACTAGTCCACTCACTCACTAGCACACTCACTAGTACACTCACTCACTAGTCCACTCACTCACTAGTACACTCACTCACTAGCACACTCACTCACTAGTCCACTCACTCACTAGCACACTCACTCACTAGTACACTCACTCACTAGCACACTCACTCACTAGCACACTCACTCACTAGTCCACTCACTCACTAGTCCACTCACTCACTAGCACACTCACTCACTAGCACACTCACTCACTAGTCCACTCACTAGTACACACACTCACTAGTACACTCACTCACTAGTCCACTCACTCACTAGCACACTCACTAGCACACACACTCACTAGTCCACTCACTCACTAGAACACTCACTAGCACACTCACTCACTAGTACACTCACTCACTAGCACACTCACTCACTAGCACACTCACTCACTAGTCCACTCACTCACTAGTCCACTCACTCACTAGCACACTCACTCACTAGTCCACTCACTAGCACACTCACTCACTAGTCCACTCACTCACTAGTACACTCACTCACTAGTCCACTCACTCACTAGTACACTCACTCACTAGTACACTCACTCACTAGTACACTCACTCACTAGTACACTCACTCACTAGTACACTCACTAGCACACTCACTCACTAGTCCACTCACTCACTAGCCCCTTGTGTTTCTGCTGGGTTCAGGCCTCTGCCTGCTGTGCTTCGTGCTCAACACGGAACGTGAAAGCATCTTGGCCAGGTGAGCCCCCCACTCACGTGACACTCACCCCCCACTCACCCCCCCACTCACGTGACACTCACCCCCCACTCACCCCCCCACTCACCCCCCACTCACCCCCCACTCACCCCCCCACTCATGTGACACTCACCCCCCACTCACCCCCCACTCACCCCCCCACTCACGTGACACTCACCCCCCACTCACCCCCCCACTCACCCCCCACTCACAGCCCACTCACCGCCCACTCACGTGACACTCACCCCCCACTCACCCCCCCACTCACCCCCCACTCACCCCCCCACTCACCCCCCCACTCACGTGACACTCACCCCCACTCACGTGACATTCACCCCCCACTCACCGCCCACTCACCGCCCACTCACCCCCCACTCACGTGACACTCACCCCCCCACTCACGTGACACTCACCGTCCCGCTCACCCTCCCACTCACCCCCCACTCATCCTACAGTCGCCCACCACTCACCCACCCCCACTCACCCCACCAGTCATCCCCCACACACCCCCCACTCACCTCCCTCTGTGTGTGTGTGTGTGTGTCAACCCTGTGTGTGTGTGACCCCTCTGTGTGTGTGTGTGTGTGACCCCTCTGTGTGTGTGTGTGACCCCTCTGTGTGTGTGTGACCCCTCTCTGTGTGTGACCCCTCTGTGTGTGACCCCTCTGTGTGTGACCCCTCTGTGTGCCCCCTGTATGTGTGTGACCCCTCTGTGTGACCCCTCTGTGTGTGTGACCCCTCTGTGTGTGACCCCTCTGTGTGTGTGACCCCTCTGTGTGTGTGACCCCTCTGTGTGACCCCTGTATGTGTGTGACCCCTCTGTGTGACCCCTCTGTGTGTGTGACCCCTCTGTGTGTGACCCCTCTGTGACCCCTCTGTGTGACCCCTCTGTGTGTGTGTGACCCCTCTGTGTGACCCCTCTGTGTGACCCCCCTCTGTGTGTGTGACCCCTCTGTGTGACTCCTCTGTGTGACCCCTCTGTATGTGTGTGACCTCTGTGTGTGTGTGACCCCCCTCTGTGTGACCCCTCTGTGACCCCTCTGTGTGACCCCACCCCCATGGTCCAGGCTGCTGCTGGGCTGGAGCTGCGTGATGGTGACGCTGGGAACTTTCCTGCTGGTGCAGAGCACCGCGGCCGCCATCGAACGAGACGTTCGCCACCACTAGCAGCACCACCACCACAACAACAACTAGCACAACCACCACTAGCACAACCACTACCACTAGCACAACCACCACCACAACTAGCACCACTGCCACTAGCACAACCACCACCAGCACCACCACCAGCATCACCACTAGCACAACCACCACTACCACCAGCACCACCACAACCACAACCACCACCAGCACCACCACCAGCACCACCACTAGCACAACCAGCACCACCACTAGTACCAGCAGCACCTCAGCCAGTTCCACCCTAAGAGTGTCGTCAGTGTTCTGGTTTTTGTCTGCGCAAGCCGTCCGAGGTGTCCCTTGTCTGCGTCTATTCACGTGCATGTACTGTACACGTGTATGTACTGTACACGTGCATGTACTGTACACGTGTATGTACTGTACACGTGTATGTACTGCACACGTGTCTGTGTGTACTGTACACGTGTATGCACTGTACACGTGCGTGCATGCACTGTACACGTGCATGTATGCACTGTGCACGTGCGTGTATGCACTGTGCACGTGCATGTATGCACTGTGCACGTGCATGCATGCGCTGTACACGTGCATGCACGCACTGTACGTTGAACTTCTTTCGCACCGTGCGTAGCCATCCGCGCCAATCGCAAAGGCGTGGTGGGGGGGGGTGGAAGGAAGGAAGGAAGGACATCAAACTGTACACGAGAAAGCCGCTCTGCAGCAACGAGCTCGTCAATGTTGACGGCGGTCTTACAAAAGAAAGTGCGAATCTCTCCGCTGGACTATCCTTTATATCGGAAGGGCATTCCCGGACGGCGGCGGCGGCGGCGGCCGCAGCAGCAGCAGCCGGCACCCTTGAGAACGGCGCTGGGCCGTCTTCGTTCGACGGTCCGACAAGCTTCCCCGCTGCCAAGATGACCGGGGGGGGGGCTTGCGTGATGACGGTCTCACACGAATCTCCGCTGGGAAGCGGCGGCGGGGCGTGGTGGTTGGCGCGCCGCCGCTGCAGACCCCCCGGCGACCCGCGTTTCAATTCGCGCTCCGACGGCTACCTGAACCGGTGCTCGGCCTCCCCGCCCCCGAGGTCGACTCGTCCCCAACTCGGCGTGCCTGACGCGGTGCCCGGTTGTTTCTGCCGCTGGACCTTCATGGGCGCTGGTGGCTGATTGCGCTGCGCGTGGGGGCTTCGAGCACATCTGAGCGCACCTTTTCGGTTTCCGTGTGTGTGCGAGGTGTGCCTGCTTCTGTGTGCGCGCGCGTGTGTGTGTCTGTTTCTTGGGGTGCGACAGGGATGTCCTCTGGCCACCGGAGCATTTGAAAATGTTCTTTCGGCCACGTTCGTGAAGACTCCCGTGGCTATTCCGGGAGAATTTCCGTCTGGTGCAGATGCAGTGAAAGGCTGTTCGACGTCCAGTTGCAATCGAGGGATGGCTCCCTGTTGGTCTACCATGTTTCGTATGCCGATGATCAGGTAGTTTGCTGCACACTCCGAGGCGTTGGGGACGCTACCGCTGAACCTGGAACTTTGCCACCAAGAGAGGGGGTCGTTGCCATTAGCCTCACAAAAGTAAAGCACCTTCCTGCGTATTTATCTCATCAAATACTCCCCCCGCCCTCTAATCCCCATGAGTGATGGGGCAGTTGTGGAGAGAGTGGAGAAGCTTCCATACCTGTCTTCTTTGGTTCTTTCGGTAAAGTCACGTAGAATGAGAATAAAATAATAAATTGATAAAATAAAATAACAATAATATTCTCACGACGTTTCGGCCACAACACAAGCGGCCTTCATCAGGTGAAGGGACGAGACTGTCTGGAGGCTGTCTGGAGGACAGCGCTTACTCCAGCGCTGTCCTCCAGACAGTCTCGTCCCTTCACCTGATGAAGGCCGCTTGTGTTGTGGCCGAAACGTCGTGAGAAATTTTATTGCGTTATTTTATTTTATAAATTTATTATTTTATTCTCATTCTACGTGGTGACTTTACCGAGAGAACCAAAGAAGATGAATCCTTGCAGTCACGAAAGCTTCCATACCTGGCCACTGTGCTTGTGACCAGGTACGGTTTGGCAGCCGAGTTCTCACTCCAAATCACTCGAGTGGCATAACTTTTTCATCAGCTGCGTAACGCTTTGTGGAAGCTACCTGCCCTATCACTTCTCGCTAAGCTACGCATCTTCTTGGCCACAGTTATGCCCTCCCTTCTCTATGTCTGCGAAACATGGAGCCCTTTAGGGGGAAACTGTGCGGGTTTTAATCATTCCGGCTGCGCCTGCCTACGATCCATCGTGGATTCAACCAGACTGGATTGGGGGGGGGGGGCTCACAGATCTTTGAAAGATCTGGACACAGTCCCATCAGTGAGCTCTTCCGGCAGGCGAGGCTCCGTTGGCCCACATTCACAGGCACTGCATGCAGCTTGTTTGGCTGGATAGAGAGGGCTAAACGGGCACTGCACGGGCTAAAGAAGAGATGGAGTGATGTGGTACAGAAGGACGTGGAGCTGAGTGGACTTGCCGATGACTGGTACCAGCGGTGTCAAGATCGGCTTCTGTAGAGGAGGCTCGTGAAGGATGCTACTGGGCAGTTGGAGGCAGTCGCCCTCCAACGGAGGGCGGAGGAGCGACGCTCACAACAATGAGCGGAGCACCGGGTGGCTAAAGCACAGCAGGTTGGCACAGTAGGGGGCACAGGTGGTGCATCAGCCAGTCATCTCAGTCAGTCGACCCGTGGCACCTGGGGTCAGTCTGTGACCTGCTGCCAGTGGGCATTCGAAACTTTACGTGGCCTTAAAGTGCACATAGCCAGGCACAATCGCTGTGGTGACGTCGCCACCGCCTAGCGGCGAATGACGGTTGCTGTTGTTGTGTTCGCGTATTTTTTAACCCCTGCGCGTGAATGTCGGTATATTTCAAGTTTACTTGAGAGCGTGGACCACTTAACCAAAGCCACTTGAGTGCAACAATTTATCCTGGGGAATGCAATGAGGGCTCCTGTGGGCACGTGTTCCCTCTGTGGGGAGTGGTGGCGCTGCGGTTAGCCTGCTGCACTGTAGCCCCAGCAACCCGAGTTCGATTCCCGTTCACGACCAACAATAATATTAATAATAATGGCGAATATCTGAACCTGCCCTGGACCTCCCCCAGGTCGACTTGGCCTTAAATACAAACTTAGTACAGTCTATACTCTTTGGTTCTATGGCCGAAACGTCGTGATTTTTGTTGTTGTATTTTTTACCTACGTGACTTTACCGAATAGAACCAAAGAGTATGGATCCTTGCAGTCACGAAAGCTTTAAATCTAGAATTAGTACAGTCTGTAAACATCAGCAACAGGGAGACAAGGGCGGCCGGTCGTGGTGCTGGCTACCCACCCACCCACCCCCTCGTGTTCCATTCCGGCCTTGAAAGGTGCTCACGAACAGCACGTGCTCCAAGAGTTTGCAGGGATGTGTTGCCGGTCGGCTGCGTGTGTGCGTGCGTGTGTGGGACGGGAAAAAGGGAGCCGGTTGCCCTATCCACGGATGCGAAGGAGGCATCGCAGCGACACGGTTATCTCTGGCTGTCGTCTGATCAGGCCGGCTTTAATCGCCGGCGAAAACGTCGTACACGAATTGTCCACGTCGTGGGTTTAACTCTCCAAATTCACTGGTGTGCAACGAATTGGCACGTTTTGTCTACGCGACAAGCCTCGCTAATTCGGCCGTGTCGGGTGGCCGAGCAGGCAGAAGCAGAACCTTACGAATCTCATTGGTCTCTGAAGCCCTACTGCGCGCGTTCAAACTGCGCTCATCTGGCTTGGCCACCTGAATTGTGAAATTGCAGTTGCCGCTCTGGAAATGGATAGCTGCCCCGTGCGACGAAAACCAGGTGCCCACGCGTCTGTGGTCAGCGAGCCGTCCGCTCGTCCACGCGGCTCCCGGGCGCGTGTCCGGGCGGACGCCATTGTGGCCGCCACCATGGCCTGGTCACCGATCCCCGAGCCTCACCGACGGCCCCTTCGGTATCGGTTGGCATCGACGAACGGTCCCGGTTTTTTAACGGTTTAATTTGTTGAAATAGGTTTTGACCCTTTTAGCTGGCACAAAAACTGACACCTTTATTCAAGGCATCATGTCTGCGATAACCACAACACAAGCAGTCAAAATCCAAACAAAAGACACAACTCTGATAATGATATTGGCACTGTCCTTGAATTTGATTGGTCCACACCCGAGACGGCTTTTCTTAGAGCGTCAATACCCTGATAGTGCGCTGTTTTTGAGTTGTACGCATTTTGGCGTCTTCTGGTCCAACACCAGTGGAGACTTAAGGGCTCTAAGAAAAGCCGCCTCGGGTGTGGACCAATCAAATTCAAGGACAGTGCCAAATATCATTATTATCAGAGTTGTCTCTTTTTGTTTGCATTTTTGACTGCTTGTGTTGTGGTTATCGCAAACATGATGCCTTGAATAAAGGTGTCAGTTTTTTGTGCCAGTTAAAAGGGTAAAAACCTATTACTATATCTTGTTACTGCCAAAGGGGAGGTCTCGTAACGGTTTAATTTGTTTTTATTGCCGAGGTGCATCACAAGACGGCGTTTTCGAGGCCCGCTTGGGGCCCGCCTGGCCACCGATCGCCAGCGCGCGACTTTTTACACGAATCTAATCACGCGATTGTTGCTGCTTTTTCAAAATTTTTTTTTTTATATCTGACACGATTACCTCTCTCGCCAATTGTTACGGAAACGAGCGACACGTTGATTGTGCGATAACAAAAACCACTGTTTTAAATTTCATTAAAGGGAGGGGTGTTCTTTTTTTTTATTCGAGAGACGAGGCCCTTCGCCAAGGCTGTTTGTCTGCGTGCGTGAGTGCGTGCATGGCTGACTGAGGACGCTCTCAAAGGTGGATGGTGATTTCTGGTGGGGGGTGGGAGTGGGGGGGGGGTGGTGAAGTTTGGTGAGATCACGTGGTGTACGGTGAGGGCGTGGTGAAGTTTGGTGAGATCACGTGGTGTACGGTGAGGGCGTGGTGAAGTTTGGTGAGATCACGTGGTGTATGGTGAGGGCTGGTGAAGTTTGGTTAGATCACGTGGTGTACGGTGAGGGCGTGGTGAAGTTTGGTGAGATCACGTAGTGTACAGTGAGTGCTGGTGAAGTTTGGTGAG